GCTATAAATCCTCTGGAGTTTTGCTCTTATAAAACTCCTCAGAGAAAGTCTTGAAGGAAATGCAGGTCAAAGCCCAAAAAAGCTCTTGATCAGAGATTGCTGGAGGAAAATCTTCCCAGACGCCTTTAATAGGCAGCAATCACCCCAGGAGTGGGGAAGCCAAGTACGCTTGAAACATGGTTGCAATTCCTAATAGGTCTTGTCACACTTAAGGCACTGCAAGCTCCATCCAACGAACAGCTGAAGCTAGCTGGCGATTCATAAAGCCAACAGTTTAAAGTTTATTATGATGAAAGCACTTAATGACAGCCATCGCTAGGGGCCCATCATTTATAAAGCTGTGCTGAGTATTAGACATGTAGCATGACCACCAATTTTATGTCACAATTGCTACCATAAAATGACCTTTGGTGATTTTTGCTGCATGTGGTGGACAGCTCTTCCTTCACATTAGTGCTCTGTGGCTTTCTTTGCAGACTATTATGCTGTCTAAAGCTTATTTGGCACTGTCGTGAGCCTCAACCCTTGTTATTACCCCGAAGGCCTGTCTAAAAAAAAAAAACAACTCATGCTATATTACGCCACTCCAATAATTTACAGTTCTTACCAGCCTTGGTTAGTGTAATATTTTAATGCAAATATGCTATACCATTGCATTTTATTAAAAAAAAAGTTCCCATGCATGTGGCTAGGACAATATCCATATGATGGGAATTCACTGAAATCAGCTTCTGATTCCCTGGTCAAGTCTCATTGTATGGGCACTCTTTTCCCTGGTGGGTTAGAACACCTCCAAATGGGGGGGGGGGGGAGAGAGAAAGGTTAATTAAACTTCCCTTGAGAAAGAGATTTAAAAAAAAAAGACCCTATGTGTGATAAACCCACCTAAGGCAGAAACACCAATTCTTACTTCCTTACATCCCGTCCCAATGCAAATTTCCATCTGAGTAACATTATTTAATTAGGATTCCATTTTCCAACCTGCTTTGTGTAGTTAGAAAGTGTTTGAATACCCGGCCACTTTACTGCTCTGATGTAAAATGCTGCTGAAAAAAAAGTGGTCTGTCCATGCTACACCACCTTTAAATTGTGTATATAATTTTATAAATGATATAAAATCTGCTTCTAGTCCCTGAAACACACACACACACATACACACACACATGGCACACTGCAATTTTGGAAAGATTTAAAATATGTGATTTCTGCTGGTACCTACTGTATTGGGTTTTATATAAAGCTTTTTTCAATAAGGTAAATTGTTACATGACAAACTCATCTTCCACCATTATCATCTGCTGTTTGTGTTTAACAACAGGAGTGCCGCTCTAACAAAACTGTTGTAATGGCTGTACAAATTACTCAGCTGAAAGCTTTTCACCAAACAAAACAGTATTAATCAGCAGTTCTTATGAAGGTGCTAATTAAAAACAATTTTCTTCCTCAGTTTGCAATACTAAAGCCATCTTCACTTGCACATTTTCCAATATACAGCTACTGTATTTGCTCACACTTCAGGCCCTCTATTAACTATTGAATCTCCTATTAGCCATTTTATTACATTTCTGTTTACAGGCTTGTTGACATTTTAAAAGTCACAGTATGATCTGTTTTATCTATTAAAAAAATGTATTAATTGAAAAGTCAGGGACAAAAAAGGCAAAATATAGCCTCCAAACGCAGACTTCCAGGGCGGAGAGCACAGTGAGCTTTTAGCCACAGCCTAGGCAGTAAGCTTCCTGGGTAAAACAAAGTCTGAGAATGAAAAGTGGCATTTCAAGCTTAATGGTTTCTCAAACACCAACAAGCTCCTTCCTGATTTGGAAAGAGTCCACTGGGGAAAACATTTGCCCTGTCTAAATTCAGTTTCTAAGGAGACCCTGACTTTCAAATCAATCTTTCTAAATTATGAGATACACTCTGCATAATTATGACATTTCATGCAGTCTGAACTCAGGAGATTTTGATCTGGGGTGAGGAGTATACCTGCAATCTGGAAACTGGAGTCCCAATCTCGGGTCTAAACAGCCTCATCTCTTCCTTCTAAGTGTGTGTGTGTGTGTGTGTGTGTGTGTCCATACACTTTGATTCCCTCCCCTGTGTGGGTGTCCTGCCCCATATACCCCACCAGAATCTAGTGAAAGGGTCCTGTCAGACGATGCCACCCAATTGTTTGGCATGGATTGGAAACAGGTTGAATGCTGACTAAGCATAAAGACAAACTCCATGGAAGTTGGGTTGAGGGAAGGGATAGGTCCATTCCTATTAAACAGATAAACAAACAAAAGCCTAACCCTTAGGAGAAGGTATGCTCTACTTTGGTAGCGGGAAGAGGGGAAAAACAACAACAACAAACCCACCACCACAACAACCTCCTGCCTATGGTATTAAAACCAGCTTCTCCAACTGTCAAAAGCAGTTAACTAGTTCAGGACAGACACCTGGCTGTTGAAATAGGGCTCCAGAGGGCCACTAATCCTTCCATTCACTCAGTTAACTGCTGGATCCCCCAAATTGATTCAACAGGTATGCCGTGGTAAATTCAGCCCATACTGAAGCCAAAGGGAAAATCAGCAAGGGGTGGGCAGCTCTTCTCTGAAAACACCCGAGGAACCAGCCAGAAAAGCTTTTATGGCCCCGACAAGTTTTCTGCTGAATACTGAGCACCTAAATTACCCTTCCCTAATGGAAGTTACATTTTCATGCTCAGTCAAAAAGCCGACAAAATACACAATTTATACAAAATAGCATCAACCTCTTAGGTAGTCTTTTCTAGCACTTTTATCCCAATTCACAGCATATATCTTGCTATAAAATAAAATAAATTTTTTATAACCAAGTTGTATGTGGCTGTTCATATCACCACATTAGAACTGAGCATGGGTGATATGGGAAACATTCTTACATCCAACCCAATCTACTTAGTAGGATAAAGGAAAATCATGAGTTTTATCAGGGGATTCAGGTACATGGAGAAGAGGAATATCATAATAATTCTAATGATTTCCTACGCGGACAGGCTTCCTTTTGAAACAAACACAGGCATAATTACCTAATAGATAATTATGGAAGGGGTATTTCAATTGCAATTATATGACCCAACAATGATGCATAGAAATAATTCTTAATCATAAAGTTAAAAAGAAATGAAGATGGTAACTTTTCTAAAGCAGATGTATTTTTTTCCTTCTCAATACTGGCATTTCATAAAAATTTGAGAAAATAAAAACACTTTTAAGTTCTTCAGTAATACGCAACATGAGTTTCTCACAAACTTCCAAAGAGCCTGGACTAGAGATATTTCCAGGTGAGGATCCCATAAAGAGCAGATCTACGAAACCTTTAGCATTTTACAGGAGACTCTCTAGGTTTTAATCACACAATAAGCATACTTCTTTACTAGGTATCTTTTGATAAGAACAGCTCAATTCTTACACCGTGTCTCAAGCTTAGGAAACTACACATACTGTTCTCAGCTTTTTTTTTTTTTTAAAGAATACATTCCTACTAGCTCACTTTTTTAAAATAAAATTTCTCCCAAAGAAATAAACGCTGGATTTCTACACCCAGGACACACAAACGCAAATTAAATTCTTGCCAATTCATGTATTTTCGTGAGAAAACAAAGAAAATATTCTCTACATTTCCAAAGAAAAGAAACAGAACAGACCATCTTAGGTGCTACTATAGGGATGGGTTTTCTTTGTCTGGCAGATTTAGTTGCAGGTTTTCCAGAAGAGATAATTTCTGCTATATTTTCACCAGTATAAATGGAACTACCTGTGTTGCCTTTTAAAACATTCCAAATTCTGATTTTTAAACAAGAAAATATGAAGCCAGTGTGCAACCTATACAGTCGCCAAAGGAGAGCTGCCACTAGCTGAACTACCCAGCTAAATGGCTGGTTTGCATTGCCCTGGTCTTTATCTAGCACCGAGAATAGACTGCTGTTTTATCCAAAGAGGAATAAATTGCTGTTATTGTGATGTTAGCCCATCACTTGGCATTGCAATTCAAGTTTTTGTGAGAAAGAAATGTATGATCTAACTGCGACTTGACCTATGCCTTCCGAGATCCATCTAGGTGCTCTAATGGAGCAGAAAGAGTGGTGAATACAAGGACATGCAAACCGATGGTGAAAAATTTGTTTGATGATAGAAGTGAGCAGAGAAGACGTTTGAGAGTGGCTGTTTTTATGACCGTTAAGTTTGTTTAACATGCAAAAGGATTTGCCCCCGGTCTCCCACCTATCCCTTTAATTGCAGCCCGCTAAATACACTCTCTGCCTCGACTAAAGATAGGAGAATATAGAGCTAACCTACTAATGACATTACTGCTAAAGTGGGCCCAGATGATTCCTTACAGATAAACATCTGAATTTCCACAAAAGGCATTAGAGCGTCTCGTGGATGCACCAGGCAAGGATATGCTTGGGTTCCCTGCAGAAAAGTCATTCTCTCTTAATCCTAGGTAGCACCTAGTAAATGTTTACTACACACTCGAATCACAGCATACACCACTATGTGCTTCCTTTAAATCAGGTAATTGTGTGGTCGAGTTTTGAAAAACTCCCCCTGGTTGCAATTTAGTTTATCAGCCATTTATTCAAAATTTCTCTGGCAAGGACCTATTTTGAAAGAGGTCTGGAGAACGGCAGCAGTTAGATGTGAGCCCCGATAAAGGCTCACTTTTCATTCATAGTCAGAGCCTAAATGTGCTCTTCTTGTACCTAAACAGATAATAAGCACTCAGCACACTCCTCCTCCTTGACACAACACATTGAGACTAATCACACATAATTGGAGAGGAGGGGCAGAGGGCTGGCCACACTATTGTGTCCAGAGGACAAACGGTCAGTTTATGAGGCTTTGGGCTGATGTAGTCATTTCTTATACATCCATAGGGAAAAAAAACATCCTGTTTAAAAGGAGAAAGAGAATGAGTGAGAGGGACAGCAAAAAAAAAAAAAAAAAAAAAAAAGGCAGATTTAATACAATTAA